AAAACTGAAAAACAGAATTTATTCCGAAAATTAACTACGAAACTTTGAATGCGGTTTTGGAAGGCCAAACGACCTCAGAATGCCAAAATCCATCATACATCACAGCAAAGCTGTGAGTTTGACTCGTGGCGTCGTTCCCTTTCCGAAATGGTATTTTGCGTCCTAATCGGAGCTCGGACGCCAAATCTGCAAATTCCTGCTATGTCCCTTTTCACTTCTTCGCTCCAATTCTTCTTCACTCCAATTCTTCTTCAATCAATTAGAAAATCCCAACGATACGCCTTCCTTCTTTTCCTAGTGTCATAAGTGACCATATTTCGTCCTACATCAGATTCTTCATCAATTTGTACTATTTTTGGCTAAAGTGATGTTTAAATTGTAAGATGGACACAAGAACTTCTCTTATTTGGGCCACTGTTATTTCTTGGCCTTTTGGGCTACAATAACTGCCGTCCACATTGGGTTTATGAATGTGAATTTTTGTAGCAACTTCAATAGGGTATCGATTACATTTCCTTTTTTTTTTTTTTTTTCCATCGGAGGGAAAGCAACCTCAATAGGGTTCGATCAATTACATTTCTCTTTGGTAAATTATGTTTATAGAATTTCCCTTTTATTAATAATTTCTTCAGTTTTTTTTTAAAATAAAATTTTGAACACTATACCCTTAAAAATACTTAAAATAACTTCTTTTTGCCTCATACAAAAAACGCAAAACTCCTCCCCGCCAAACAAAGCATAATTACGCGGAACCAAACATTCACCAATATATTTCCCGCCATTTTCCTTTTCCTTTTGGGGTCACTCTCTCACTTCCTTCGTAACCCTTTGGTTTTCCCAATAAACCCCCTCAGATGAAGCCCATTTGAACAGAGCTCATCGCCTCATACCGATTCTAGCGCTTTGAGGAGGAGGAAGATGGGGATACAAGGGCTATTGCCGCTATTGAAATCGATAATGGTGCCCTTGCACATCAAGGACTTGGAGGGCTCTAGCGTGGCTGTTGATACCTATTCTTGGCTTCACAAAGGTGCCTTGTCCTGCAGCAAAGAGCTATGCAAAGGAGTACCCACCTCCAGGTCTCTTTTTTATAACGGAATTAGTCGAATTGGGATGATGGGTTTTTGTTTGTTGATCATCTGTGACATTGAGTAGCTGAAAATTTCGATAATTTTATGGAAATGGGATGATGGGTCCTTATTGCTTTGACCATTTTGATGCAAATTTGATGTTGAGTTGTCTTGGTTCAATCATCCTGATGCATTTTCTATGAATCATGATGGGTCTTCTTGTTGAGTTGTCACTGGTTCCAAAAAAATGATTTTTATTTATATTTCAACAATTTGAGGAATTAAACTTAAAGAACCAGAATTAGCCAGTGACCTTATAAGAATGAACAAAATGGTTTGTAAAGATGAACCATTTTTTTTTTGCTTTCAAATTATGTGCATTTTAGTTATTTTTAGAAACCCACTGTCATACTTTTCAGTCTTTTTTTTTTGTTGTAAACTGAAAATGTACTTAGATGTGGGGAGAACACGCATTTTCCAGTTAGCTTCTAAGGAAAGGCCAGTTTGGCAAAAGAAAAGCACTAACTTTGTTAAACCAGTACGTATTGAATAGTATATTCCACCAAGAATTAAAGATACTTCCCTCATATGGTGTTCACTGACAAGAAGCTACTTGCATTTCTTTATGTTCTGTGTTTTTATGATTCCAAAGTAAAATTACAAAATTAGGATTCAAAGATGCAATAATTTATTATGACAAAGCGCCTTTAAGTTTAGTGCAATTGATTATGTAGTCACGAGTAGATTCTAGTACTATTTGTTATATGTGATTCCTGTGCATTTCATTTCCATTTTAGGCACATTGACTATTGCATGCACAGAGTAAACCTGCTGCGGCATTATGGTGTTAAACCCATTCTTGTATTTGATGGTGGACTTCTACCAATGAAGCTTGAACAAGAGAACAAGCGTGGAAGGTACGCTGGTATCTCTTTTTATTTTAATTCCACTTGTAATCCATATCTTATTTGGTCTTTACTTAAGTGATCATAGTCACTTCAGCTACTTTGGAGTAGGTTGTATGAATCCCTTATGCCATTTATTTTTTCACTAGTTTCAGATATCTACTATTTGCTTTATGTCTTGATCAATTATTTAGGATGTTGTCTAAATCCTCGAGAAACTTTTAAATTCTCGTGTTTCTGCATGCTTAGAGATAAACAATTAGTGCATAGGTTTGTGTATATGTAGCCAAGGGATTATATGGGTAGATATGTTCAACTCAACTTCTTAATAGTCATCCTTTCATTGCCCCTGTGTATGGCATTACATCTCTCAGCTCAACCGTTTCAGCAAAAAACTTCCCTGTCTGTGTCATTTCTACTACATTAGGAAAGCTTCCTATCTTTAACGTGTGATTGGTTTGTCTCTGCAATATGAGGTGGAGCTACTGATCTTTCTCTTGTATCATTATCAGTTTAATAGATCCAACACAGAAGGGACTGGTGTTCATCTTTTAGTGGTTAGTGTGATTCATGGATAACTCAACTCGGAACTGCTTTATATTCTTCTAACGCAGGGTGCGAAAGGAAAATCTTGCACGTGCCATTGAGCATGAGTCTAATGGAAACTCAGCTGCTGCTTATGAGTGCTACCAAAAAGCTGTTGACATTTCACCTTCAATTGCACATGAGCTAATCCAGGTAAAAAACAGGAAATTTTGGGTAATAAAATATTAGTTTTTCAAATAAGGAAACACTAGCTCTTTAAAGTATCAGATATTCAAAAAGGTTTGTTTTTCTTCTTAGCGATATTGAATTTAATCTCCTCTTTTGTTGACAATGTTGCTCCTTGAAGGTGTTAAAGCAGGAGAATGTATGTTATGTTGTGGCTCCTTATGAGGCAGATGCTCAAATGACTTTCCTGGCTGTCAGCAAGCAGGTAGAAGCTGTTATCACTGAGGACTCAGATCTTATACCATTTGGATGTCCAAGAGTGAGTTAGCTGTATAGCACAGACCACCTTTTTTTCTTTACCATAAGAAACTTACTATTTGGGTGATACTATAAATCCTTTCTTTAATCCAGATTATCTTTAAAATGGACAAATTTGGGCAAGGAGTTGAGTTTCAGTATTCCATGCTGCATCGGAACAAGGACTTGAGTTTTGCAGGATTCACAAAACAGATGCTTCTGGAGATGTGTATTCTGAGTGGTTGTGACTATTTGCCGTCATTACCTGGAATGGGCCTGAAAAGGGCTCATGCACTCATTAAAAAGTTCACAAGTTATGACAAGGTGAAGTTTATCATTCATGCATGCTAGTAACTGAATACGTTTTTGGAATGCAGACTGACATTATTTGATTGCTTAGAAATTATCCTTTTATTTGAATTTACTTTTTTGGTTTGAACATTTTGAATAACTCTGTTATAAAGTGACCTGTGGCTGTCCAATTCAGGTAATTAAGCACTTAAAGTACAGCACTGTATCAGTTCCTTCCCTTTATGAAGAATCATTCAAGAAAGCAATATTGACCTTCCAGCATCAACGCGTTTATGATGTTGCTTCTCAAGATATTGTATCTTTGTCTGATATATCTGATGATGATGGGGATGATTTGGACTTCTTAGGACCATATCCTTTGTATTTTTCATCTAAGTTTATCATTTCATTACTTTTTTTTTTGGACTGAGTCATTACTTCCATTCAATTAATTTCAATGCTTAAGATTATACCTTAATCTGAGATACATCGATACCACAACATATAGCTAAAGGTATAGCAGAAGGTGATATTGATCCATTTACCAAAATGCCATTCCAGGTATCCTCTATGCAATTTCTAAAAGGTTTCTTTTCCCTGATTGAGTTTTCTTCTTTGCATAAGATTTGAGGCATGTGTTTTTGCTTATTCTGATCTGTATTGTTTAGTATGATACAACATGATGAAGTCGAATCGAATAAGTTTTGCATAGAACTCTTCTTATAATTGAGTTTTTGCCATTCTATTTTGTTATATTTTTATCAGAAAGAGTGTTTGTGATTAAACCATTTTTTTTTCTTTGCATCAACAGGAAGAGAACATTAGTGCTGGCAGAATTTCTCAACCTAAAAATGTCAATCTTGGAAGGATAAAGAAAAAGCTAGATTTGCCCGTGCAGAATAATCTCCTGACTAAATACTTTTGTATCCTTTGAACCCTTTATTTCTAAGTTTGATTAAAGGGCAACTAAAGAATCAGTATGGAAATATTTATTTTCTTGCAACTTTTTCTTTTTGTCTTCCTTTTCTTTTTTGCTTTTTTTGCAGCATATTAGGCAAACTTTCTGTTGTCCTTTGCACTATGTACTGCTCATATATGTATGTTTAAGGTGTTTATGATGGGTTTGTATAAATTCAAAAGCAATAATTAGATAGATATAGTAGAATAGCTAAGATAATTAGAATGCAGTTCTGGAAGCACCAACAGTCTCTTGCATATGGTTGTAGTGTTGTGTTTGTCGTAGCTGTTATTGTGTTTGGGTTCGAGTTCTGTAATTTTTCTTTAACAACCAACAGGCTTTGCCTCTCTTGAAGCAAAGAGAAAATTCAGAGCCCCGCGGATGTCACCTGATTCTCCAAGTGCATTTGATGATTCTTCTCTCAGTCCTGATGAAAATGTCTCCTTGGATGATCCTTCTTGTAAAGCAAGCTGCTCAGAGTCATCCCTTAACTCTGAAAACACGGGCAATGTGCTTCCCAGTGATTCAGTAAGTTTCTTAAATGGGTGAATATGATAATTTTCAATCAAACACCACTTATTAATCAGCTGCCTTTAACCAGTTCTGTGATGTAATAAATTATCCTTGTCTTGTCTAGGTAGAAGATGGCTTTGACACTGATGTCCGTGATGTATTAGAAGCCCAAACTCATGGTAAGGATACAGTTTCCCCTAGATTACTTCATGGGTCCAGTTATAATTTTCCACTCACCACTGGTACTTACAACTCGCTTGAATTTTATGTTCCTGACATTGAAAGACATGGTAGGCATGAGAAGAAGTCCAGACAGTACATTGTTGCAACAACCCAGACATTCAATTCATAAACCTTGTCTAACACTGCATAAGGAGCGTGAATGCAAGAATGCCCCAGACACAGTTGAGGGCGGTAAGACAAGAACAGAGAACAGAAAGGTCATTGTAAGAAGTTCTTATTTTAAGGACAAGTCAATCAATGAAAATGACCAGGAGGATAAACAAGAGAAACACTTGCTAGAGGATGGTATTGCTATTGATGTGGACAAGAATGCTGTTCCAGAGAGTGCTCATTTCGAGAATAGCTATTTCAATGGCAAAGTTATGAAAAGGAAGACCTCCCCAGGTGACAGCTTTGAAGTGGTATGTGTTTTTCTTTCTCTTTTGCTTTTATGCTCAAAGCGTTTGTGTTTATGATTGTTTTTCTTATAAAATCATTGTCTTAACTACTTCAGGAAAATGTGAAACCCAAGCAATTGTGTATCAGTGCATGCCTTCCCGATGATGGTAAGTGCTAGTTGAAACTTAGAAAAACTGAGCTTTCTATTTTGATAAATCTATTTTATTTTATTGACCTATGAATGTGTTCATTGATCAAGGATATTGATTTTTGTTTTGTATTGTTTCTTTCATTTAGGTTGTTTTGATAAATCAGCTTTTTATTGACCTATGAATGTGTTCATATGAGCTAATATTTGTTGCCTCATCAGTTTAAATTAAGAGGTCAATGAAACTGACCTATATCATTGATCAAGGATATTGATATTGTGTTTTTGTTACTTCCATTTAGGTAATTGTGCATCTAGCCTAAACGAAACATTTACAGGCACAAAAACTGAAGAAGGGAAATTTGGATCCAACATTTCCCATTTAGGCCGGTATTCTGACATAGCAGAGAAGTCGATGGAAAAATTTGTTTCAGTTATATCATCGTTTAGATATTCGTCGTCTGGTTCTCGAGCAAGTGGTCTTCGTGCTCCTCTGAAAGATGTCCAAAACACTGGTACCAATAGGTAAGATTTTCAAAGCTTATATTGCCTTCTTCTACTGCTACATTATCACCATGAATGACTTGATCTTTATTTATTGCAGGTCAACTGTTGCTGTTGACTTTAGCCAATTTGAATACGTACCAAATACCCGGAAGACTTCCACAGCACCTCCCAAACGCTGTTTTAGACCAGTTTAAAGCAACACTGTGTGGATGAGCAATTAGCAACCAGTTTTTTACTTGCATCAATTGCTCTGAAGCCAATTCTTCCCTAATGACTGGTGTGTGGGCAACTTCAACTTGATTTTGTGTTTGCTATCTGCCATTTTTGTTCTTTGGTAGTTTTTTATTAACTTCATTTTAATCATGGCAGATTCTTCAAACACTCATTTTTGACTTCTCGAGGCCCTTGCTTGATCTGCCATCAGCAGCGTGACCTGCATAAGTTTAAATATCACTGTTTGTTGTTCTTGCATTGTCATTTATACAAAGCCTTCTCCGATTGCAGCATCATTGCGTCCAGAGTGAGAAGCTGCTTGATGACGCTTTTGTTTACTGATATTCACGTTTGAGTTAAAGATCGACAGTTTTGTACTATCCTTTGGGATCTTCTCACGGTGTGTTTTTTTTTTTTGCTTCAAACTAAGCATCTTTTTTTAAACAAAAAAGAACAAAAACATCCCCAACTGAGTTTAAACCGACAAAATGTGTAGAGATGCTCGCCTAGTCTTCTAGGCCATAGCTTTGTTGATCTTTACTAAAAAATATCACACAATGCGTGTATTACTTATAAGACATTCTCCAATAAGTATTTAAGTTAAGAATTAGTTACATACTTTTAATCTCGGTTGTTGGATTGCATTTAGGAGACTATTAACATATTTAATGAATGCAATCCAACAATTAAGATTAGAAGTATGTAACCATTCCTTAATATAAAATACTTATTGGAGAATCCCCCTTAAAGTTCTACTTTGCATAATTAGCAATAAGATTTGTCATAATCCATGCCACCTAAAGGAGGACAATTATTTATTTATTAATTATTATTTCCTAGAGTTGCTGCTTTCTTTTAGTTCTCTCTAGGTGTAACGAGTAGCGCAAACCTTGGGGAAATTTAACTCTTGACAACACGTAATCCTCTCTGTAGAGTGTATGTATATATATATATATATATATATAATGTCACTTTCTTCTTCATCTCAATATAAGTGACCATTACCACATTTATACTTTCTTCTTTTAGATGATAGCAACAAGAACCCTATTACCAAGGATAAGGCAGGCAGATTAAGCATTCTTGTACACTTGAAAAAGCACCATATCCAAATGATTAAAAGCACTCAATCTGATTATATATATCTGCAAGTTAGGTTTGTGCTTTTCCCTTCCACTCTTTCATTCATGCCATTCATGCCATTAATGGAAATGGAATGCAAGATTGCTTTGTGTAAAAGTAAAAAGGCAAGTCATTGTCATAGCCCATAGAGTTGTAAATTTAGACATACGCGTTCATAATTCAAACCTTCTTCGGGCATGTTTAAAACATTCGAATTTACTTAATACACGTTTATTGATGATTGCACATAGTCATAGTTATCTTAAAAGGCGAAGAATCTAACTAGACTTTTAGGGCAAAAATCATATGAAAGTGTTTGTACTAAAGCATATTAAAGAAAACACGAGTGTGGTCAATTAATGTCGATTTTGCTACTATGTTAGCATTTAGCACGTTTGTTCTTCCATTTGGACAAATACACGAAAACAATTTCTGTTATGTATTGCTTTCCAGTCTCATAAAATATTGCTTATGTACCATCAAATATATGTTGACTCGAACATGCCCCAAAGATTAATTTGGTATCTATTTTAATTTTAAGTAGAGTTCCTACCTAACTAAGTTTGACAACTTTTTAGAAGATAAAAGAACCATTTGCATCCCAACAACCACTAATTTTGTTCAATTTATCCAAACACTTTCTTTAATTAATACTTGGATTTGGATTTGCTCAAGTGTTCAAGTCATCAAGAATTTTATTATTATTATTATTTTAAAAGAGAGCATCTGCGGAATTTGCTTAACTTCTCTGCTTCCCATCCCATCCCATGCCATTTTTAATTCCATAATAAATCCCTTTTTCTGGACTCTATTATAATTTGTCGGTTTTTGAAGTTTGGAAACCATGAAGCTAAGGAACAAAACCTACACGTTAACGAACTCAAACAACATTATTAAATATTTAGTTTCCTTGGGAAAGCAAGCCCCGACAGCCACTGTGAGATCTGATTTGGTTATGATTTTAAAGAATTTGTGGCTTTGATGTGATCCGCGTCATTGGTTCATGAGTTGACACTGTCTGGTTTCTTCTGACATGCTGATCTCCACCATCCATGTGTCTCTGATGTTCTGATGCACACGTGGCCTCGGTGTCATGCCTCTTGTTTTTTACTTGGATTTCTTCTTTTTCGTACCAATATTATTGTTAGTCGGATTCGAATCATTAGTACAACTTTTTTTTTAATTAATTGAAATCAATAGATAATACTATCGAGTAATAATTTTTTCTTTTCTAACTAATCTTGGGTCATATGAAAATTGTAGGTAACATTACATTTGGAGTTACTTTTGTGTTAAAAGTTGAAGCTCTTTTTGCCTTCAAATATGGATTGATATGGTCTAAACGTCTAGATTTATCTAATATCAGACATATTTTTGGTGAATGTAATACGGTGGCAGATGCTATCGCAAGTCACGGACATCAACTTTCAAATATTTGTGTTTGGTTCCATCATGTTCCTCATTTGGTAGCTCGTAAGATGTTGTTTGATAATAGATCTCTCGAGATTTCTAGAAGACTTTCTTTGCAATTTCCGTCTATGTTAAATAAAGAAACCGTTTGATTTTGTTTTCTTTTTTCAATTTTAGTCATCAAACATGTCATGTCATATTGTTAATTTAATGATTTTTAGATATCAATATACATCGTTCTCGCATCTACTTGCGTTTTGCTTGACACCTTCTCCAATCAAATAAAGACATAGGTGATTAATATGTATTATTGATAATGAGGTGTTGATTTGAATATGATAATGAACAATAATAATGTAATAATAATATTAGGGGCTGATCGTTGAAACATAGAGACTGCAGGGTCGTATAGGTAGGGAACAAGCTTGGCTGAGCACAGAGCTTTCACGGCCATGGTGGGGGCTGCTCTACTTTTTTGCTTCATAAGATATTGAGTTTTTGGAGAAGTGGATGAGGCCATCGGGGAGGGACCCCCCTTGCCCCTCACATGCTCATCATCACAACCACCAACTATGCATGCGAACAATACGAAAGGGTTTGAATCAATCCAATTCTGGGAATAAGTTTTATACTTTTATTTCTGTCACGCTAATTAATCTGATCATTTCTTGTATAGTCAAATAAATAGTGTAATTAAAAATAACAACATGGCAAACAGTTGTGGTTTTTACTTTTTCTTTTAAAAAAAAAATTAGAATACAATTGACTATACTTGTTGGCATAAACTATGCAAGGTACGTAACAAAAAAATAAAATTATTGGTTTGAAAAAAAGGGTACGGAACAAAAAAATTTCTCCTTTTATCCAGTTGAGTGACTAGATCACACGTATGTGTTCTTGTATGTAATGGGGTTATTTTCATTGCAAGGACGAGAAGACTGACTCTAAACTTTGTGTTCTTTTTTTATTTATAATATTTTGATTAGTCAATTGTGGGAAACGAATTATAGGAGGATCTGAATAAGTCAATCCCCCTCTCTATACCCTATTGTTTAACTCTTTCCATATTTTCAAACAAATTATGTAGCTCAATTGGTTAATATCAGTTCTTCTACACTTATCGTGTTTGAATTCTATTCACTAAAAAAAAAAACTAAAATAGTTAACGCTCCGTTTGGATGAGGGAAAATAACTCGGAGTTTAGTGTAAAGTATGGAATTTAATAGGAGAAATTAACAATTCTCTTGTTTGGCAATTTAAGCGCGCAATTTATTAAATGGTGAGCGGAAAAAATAGTGAAAATTGAGGCATCAAATTACCGAGTTTAATTTCCACCAAAATAGGTGTTATTTCACAATTTTCATAGTGTCATTTATAAAATGCGACATACATAAATCCAAACATTGAAATCTTCAATTGCCATAAATTAAAATAATGGAAATCTAAATTCTGTCATTTTAGATTCTATGTAATTTTCAATTCCTTCATCCAAACGGAGGGTAAAAGTCTTGTATTCAAAATTTTCCTCCTCTAATATCACTGGTATAAAAAAATAATAAATAAACCGCGAAAGAAACAAAAGTGACGACATATATTTCCATGACCACAACCAAACACCCCTGACCCCTCTCTCTCTCTCTCTCTCTTAAATTCTCACCGAAACCAGGCTGGTGATGTTGAGGTTTGCCAAGACCAGACAAACCTCCACACTCAGACAGACAAAGAGTGTAGAAGGGGCGGTGCACTGGTCACCCTTCTGCATACCACCATATCCATACATGAACAAAACCCGCAACACTTCCTGCCCAACTTGCAATGTCAAGCTGCTGTTAGCTAACAAAAACCTTAAGCTGCCCGCAAGAAATTAAAAATCAAAATATTGAAGCTCCACAAGAATTTTCAATTGTTTTTCAGAATCAACAATGATCTTTCAAATTTAAAAAATAACCCAACAAATTCACAGTAATTGACATTTGACAGGGGAGAACCTTTGTAATTTGCCCTCCCCCGCCCCCTATTTCTCTCATCTAATGAAAAATAATTAAGGAAACGAATATTTCTAATTCGAAATTACAATTTTATTTATTTATTTATTAAGCTTCCAAGAAGCCGGTCATTCTGAGAATCGAATTCCGGACTTGACTCAAATCCCTTCCTTTAAGCGTTCGCCCGTTCCCCGTGCACACCGAGAACGCCATCTTCCCCGCAATACGACGCCGTACTATCACATGCGGCGGCACCATTTCTCCCTCGTCCCATTCCTCCTCCCTGTAATAATCGCCGTCGCTTTCGTCTTCGGCGCTGCCGAACCGGTCGAACGCGTTGTTTGGGATTTTCACCGGCACCGACTTACTATTATCATTACTAATATTATTCCCCATTGCCTTCTTCTTCTTGGTGAAATTGGACTTTTTGTGGTGGTGAAGATGAGGCCGGAAATCCAAGCAGCTTTCGAATTCGTGATCGTCGGAGAAGATGACCTCCGATTCTTGGAACTCGTAGTCGGCCATAGCCAGAGCCATAGAGCTGAGGATTTTGGAGAAATTTGATATCAAATTGAAAGTGAAATGAAAGTTGGGTTTTATGACAAGTTTGGGGATTCGATGGGATTTTTTTGTATATTTATAGAGAGAGAGAGGGAGGGAGGGAGGAAATGAAAATCGTAGTGAGTACACTTT